TGACTCAAAATCCAAAGCAAACTGCTCTTCTCTAGCCCAGAAATGGCTGTGACCATCCTAGTTCTTGTTGGCATCAGTTCAGGTGTAGCACATCTTCCTGTGGCAGGGGTATTCTTTTCCCTGGAAAAGCCTAAATTGAGCAGTCCATCAGTTAAGGACTGTAAACTTGAGAGCAATATTTAAAATCTGCTGGTTATTAGGATCCAAACAGCCTTAGTATCAAGTAAGGTCAATTGGAAAGAAATACATCTTATTATTAATTAAAAAAGGAAGTGTAAGCAATTCTTTGCTAACTGGAATTGTGAATTTTGTTAACTTGTCTTGTTCTTCTCACTGGCTGAGGATGGGATCCAGCCAGGGAGGGGGGAGCAGAGGTGGCTCAGCAGAGAATTGGGGCTGGAGGCTCTGCTTGCCCATCCTGGCTTCACAGACCCCTCCAGGGAGTCAGGCTCTGGTCTCTAGAATTTTTTTATTTCTGTGTAGTCCATGTTGAGAATATGAATGGACATCTTGCAGCCAATGGGAGGGTGAGGTGTGGCATAATGAACATCCCACTGTGCAAGTTAATGCTGGGATTTTTTTCTGCCAGTTCCTCTTGTTTTTCCATCATGGTCAACATCAGAAATCTTTCTTACAACACTTGAAAACTCTAATCTAGGCCTAAAGCCAGTAGAATCTCCATTTTGCCTTCATTTCCATTACATTAGATAGGGTGAATTCCAGCCACTGCAGAGCCCTGTAGAGTAGAGCAGCAGCACCTCAATTAAATATGAAATATCAAGATAAATGTGTGAATAAAACATCCAGGACTCAGACAAACTTCCAAAACCTGCTCGTCAGCAGTGAAATGCCATTAAATCCTCTAGGAACTCATTAATAGATTAACATTTGGAAGAGTAATTACAACTACATTACAACTAAGAATAAAGAAAAATAAAAAGGAAAATCCAGCAGCATCATTTCTCTAAACTCTTGACATAAAAGGAAGATCAATACTATAAAAAAAGCTGAGGTAAGGAATTAAGGTCAAGATGATTATGTCAAAAATAGGTAAGCTGTTCATATATATTTCAAATAAAACTACTGGGTAGTATTTGCCATTATTGGTGTGGAATAGTCCCTCACAGGAGAGGGAAGAGGGATGCTGAGCTGAAATCAAGGATCTGTCTGGAAATTGGGTGAGTTCATGACTTCAGTGCCTTTAAGCTAAATCACAGCTAAAATCAACAATGTCAAGCTTTGTAGCTGCGTTTTCCGAGGCAGAGAAGGACACTGATTTTTAGTGAGACAAATATATTGCCCTTCAAGAGGATTAAATACTGGAAAAGTCCTTTTTGAGAATTTATGTTACAGCTCTGTAAAGGAAGGAAAAAAGATGAGATAAAGTAGGTACTGTAGGTAGATAAATAGGTGAGATCTTGAGAAATGTTTTCATTTTTCATCAAATTCTCACAATCTGTAGAACCCTTAGATATAATTCATTCAATTATAACCTGAAATATTAATCTTGCAAATTTATGAATATGAATAAATATAAATGGGGAAAATATTACTTTATTTAGGAATTTTTCTTTATTACTGTGAGTTTACCTTGTGTGTGACCAGGCTGTCCTGCACGGTGCAGGGGGAACTGAGCCATTTTCAGGGGGAAAAAAAATATATGAAAAGTAACAAGGTTATAAAATACATAGATGACAAATCAAATGAAGTCATCAATGTGTAAAACAAAATGTTAAGATTTTAGATTTGCAATCTTCCTATTTAAATGCCCTCATTGATTTGTTACAAATACTGTTAACCCTGTGTTTGGAAAATGGTGAGGACATTATCACTTGTGTTCTCATTTGTAATAAAATAGATTAACTTGCTGTGAAATTTTAACTAGGCTGAGACACAACAGTAGCTACCTAATGAACCAGAGCACATTGCTGTTAAGTAGCTAAATAGATGCATACTGATTACAGGACTGAAAAATGGATCTGTTTACCAGCAAAAGAAGAGTCTGCTCATAGCATTATTCATTATAGGAGGGGAAATTCAGCACATTTCTACATAAACATTTGGAAATGGACAATTTCTTGATCCGTATGCAGCCTCACATGGTGATAATCCATCCTCATTTGGAGCATGTATGATAGAGAAGGAATTTCAGCTCCTTTGTTGCTTATAGGAAAAGCTCTGCATTCCCAGTGCCTGTACATGGTGTAGCTGGAAAGACATCAGATAAAATAATCAACTAATTCTCTTAGAAAGTGACTCACTGTGTGATTAAGAAGGATATTTTTATTTGACACTTGTACATCTGCCTGAAGATTTCAAACCAAGACCCTGAGTCTGAAAGCAAATTACTGCAAGCAGAGATTATTTCATAGTGAGAGACAATGGGAAATGCAGTTACCAGAAGGAGCTGGAATACTTTGCTTTTCCAAATCATCAGCTTTTGAATTACTCAAATAACTCCCATTTAAGATGACATATATGGCTGTTTGTGTGATATCTAAGTGTTAATTCCTAGTCATATTTGTTCATAGGGTTTTTTTGCAGAACAGTTGGCATGTCCTCTCCTTGGCTATTCATTTTCATGGTTGCAGTAGACAATGAAATTTACTTAAACTATGCACTCTTCTGTGAAATTAATCATTTCAAAATGATATCTTAATTGTAAATTGAGTGCTCTTTGTGGTTAAAAGAGAGGAAATAGTGCCAAAGAGGACTGTTAAAACTGAAATCCATGCAAATGAAATTGCAGTCAGTGTTGTAACCTGTTAGCAGGAACCTATTTGGAAGCTATTATTTGCACAAAGGTAAAAACCACCCAGGATTTATCCACTCAGGGTTGCCTGTGTATGGTTTGTTATTTAGGACAGTACTTTTTGGGGTGAGAATGTGCCTTTCAAAAGCAACTCAGTAAGCAGCCCATCCACAAAGTCCCAACTCCCTTTTACTCATCTGTTCATCTCAGCAGCCCCCAAACCCTCTCTTTTGGAGGCCAAAAGGAAGAAAACACAGGAGACTTTAAGCTCAGTGAATTGGATCTTTTTTTCCTCCCACAGAATTTGAAAACTAATTTGTATGAAACCATTCAGTTTTCAAAATGATAAAAACTTGTGACTCAACATAATAGACTCATGTCTGTTAAATATTATCATTAAAAGTCTCCCTTTCAGATCTATTAGTTACTGTACATTCATTAAATAACAGATAATTAGTGAAACTGATCCATTGAGGATTAACAGCTATGTAATAGATACACATCTGTTACATGGTTTTGGGGCTGGGTTGTTATTTAATGTACAATAACAATCCTATTAAAACCAGGTCTGGTGCCACGTTGTCAGCTGCTGTGGTTGGAATAGGGAAATGCCATCCCATGCTCTGAGGAGGATCCAGTCTCATGTTCCCTTTGCATAACTCTCAGAAGTATCTGTAAATACAAAGAGGAGTGTGGCTTAGAGGGATGGTTTTAATGGGTAACAGAATATGCTTGTTGATCTTGCTGGCAGTGTAATTTATATCAGGGTTTTATATCAGGGATTTATAATGGAAAAACTTCTAGGAGCCACCATGTGCTTCCCAAAGCTGCATTAATGATTCAGGCTTCCACCTAGAAAACTGCATAAAAACTTCAGATGCTTCTGAGTTTATTTTCCAGAGTACACAGTAAATTGCTACCAAGGAGCCAGATTGACTATTTCTAATTAAACATCTTCAGAATAGGTTAGAAAGGAGGAAAGATTGCAAAGTTCCTTTGAGACAACTTTCCCAGGTGAACTCTAATTGTGATTTTTTTGTGAGGTGGAAGGAAGAGAATCTTTCTTTAAAAAAAAACGAAGTTAGATTTCAGTTCGGGTTTGCACAGGAAGCAGGTGATGGCCAGGGATGAGACAATTCCAGAGGTTCAGTTTCTGGAGTTCTGTAAATTCAACCATTTTTGCTCATTATTGTCTCTCCCTTGGAATTACACCTTCAAGGACTTGGATAGAGGTTTTAAAACATAGAAGGCATTTTAGGAGAAAAATATCTGGAGTAATTCAGGCCCCAATCGTCCCTTTCAAAAGAGTCTCATTTTCTGTTGATTCTGGGAACAGGAATGAAGGGCACTGAAATTTTTAATTCAAAGTATGTGTGTGGAAACACTGGGTTGGAAGGATCTCAGGTGGTCTCACAATCTCTTGTCCTAAGGATGAATTTTAACTTATGTCTTGTTTATCTGACCTGTTCCTAAAAATCTTTCTTGATGAAAATTCCATGGCATCTTTAGGCAACTTGCAAGTGTAGATACACAGAAATGCAGAATTTAATTTTGCCTTTTAATTTTTTTTGTATTTCTTACCCTTTTTTTCCCCTCCTTACCTCAAGTACTATATATATTTAAATTGGAGGTTAATATCAAAGTTTCTTGTGCAAATATAAACGTGACATTTTGCAAGCAGACTATTGTTTTGGTTAATCACTGGTGCTTTTCATGCAAGAGGGAAATTTGTACTAGAGCCACAGCATTTATCATTTGTTCAGGTGCTGTCCTGAGAAGATACTGATTTAATTTATTCAGGTACAGATTCTAGTTACAAATTCACAAGTACAGATGCTAATTACAAATTTGACTGCATTTAGTGACAGTTCAATCCAGCTGTGAATTGTTTATTTGAAATGTGACTCATATATGGCAATCTCTCTACCTGTAGATTAAAAGTACTTTGTGAAAGCAACATGAAAGACTATTTTATATGTTCCTACGTGTGAAAAATTTAGAACATAACAAGTTGCCAATAAGAAAAAAGTGGCAAATGATCAGCTAAGCTCAGACACGTTGTTTGTAGAAGCCAGTGTTGGTTTTGGCTGTAGATGACTACACTGCTCTTAGACACAAGTTCTGTTCTCTGTTTACCTCACCAACACCATTTGTTACCATTACTTTTAAGCCAACCTCACTGTTTTAAGCCTGAACCTCGGTGAAACGTGGATGAAAGGACCCAGCCTTGCTTTGCTTCTGTTTGCAGGAGAGGATCCAGGACAGCCCTTCCCCGGCGCCGTCCCTGGAGGACAGCCAGCGGCCCGGCAGCCATGCGTCCTCCCACCCCAGCAGCAGCGTGTCCAGCTCCCCGTCCCAGCTGGACACCACCCCCGACAGGATCGGTCAGTGCCGCTGCCTCGCACCCCTCACAGCCCCTCATTCCCTTCACAGCCCCTCACTCTCCTCACCGACCCTCACTCCCCTCACAGCCCCTCATTCCCTTCACAGCCCCTCACAGCCCCTTGCTCCCGTCACAGCCCCTCACACCCCCTCGCTCCCCTCACAGCCCCTCACAGCCCCTCACTCCCCTCACAGCCCCTCACAGCCCCTCACTCCCCTCACAGCCCCTCACTCCCCTCACAGCCCCTCACAGCCCCTCACTCCCCTCACAGCCCCTCGCTCCCCTCACAGCCCCTCATTCCCCTCACAGCCCCTCGCTCCCCTCACAGCCCCTCACTCCCCTCACTCCCCTCACAGCCCCTCGCTCCCCTCACTCCCTTCACAGCCCCTCACAGCCCCTCATTCCCCTCACAGCCCCTCGCTCCCCTCACAGCTCCTCACAGCCTTTGTGTGCTGGGAACGTGCAGGGAAGCACTCGCTTGATACGGAATACGTGGGAACTTTATCCCTGTGGTTTTATAGTTAAACACAGTTTCAAGCTGTGTTAAGGGAAATACAGGTTGGACATTAGAAAGAAGATTTTTTACAGAAAGGGTGATAAAGTTCTGGAATGGTCTCCCTGGGGAGGTGGTGGATTCACCATCCCTGGATGTGTTTAAGAAAAGACTGGATGTGTTTAAGAAAAGACTGGATGTGGCACTGGGTGCCATGGTTTAGTTGAGGTGTAAGGGCATGGGTTAGACTCAATGATCTATAAGGTCTCTTGCAGCCTAGTAATTCTGTGAATTCTCTGAAGTTCATCACTGAGCAGAGCCCAGCCCCTCCTCTTGGGTTCCTCCTGTGCCAGTATCCCCTGCACAGAGGGATCACCCTTGCACCCTTCCCTGGTCCAACCATCTCCCTCAATGTGCTTGGGGAGAGAAGTGCTGCTCAAGACACCTGCTGTTGAAAAAGAGCAAGGTATCTTTTTCTCTGCATGCGTGTGAGGAAAGTCACAGATTAAATGATGACTTTTTTGTTCCAAAAACCTCCTTGTGCCCACACATTCCTTCATCACCCTGAGGCTGAGGCCTTTCTAGCTTTTTTTGGTCCCTCCACTAGAGCTTTCACAGCCTGTGCACTATCGATTAAAATGCTAATTCCGTCTAGAGGAAGTTTAGATCCTATTCTTGGTGCTTCCAAGAGGGATCTAGGGCAAGTCAATTAACATCTCCTCACGTCAGTGTGTGTCAACACTGCTGTCTCCTCATGGCCTGGAGCCCGTGCAGGCATTGCTGCCAGATTTAAACCACAGAAGCCGTGCACTCTGGGTGAGTCACTGGAGAACTCCCTCCCATGCACCACCTACCCCTGGGATTTTGCAGTTCTGACCCTGGTCCTTGCAGCAGCACCACAGCACTGCCCAGCACAGTGCATAGAACCTGGATGCTCTGCCTAAATCTGTGCACACACAGAGACCGTGAAGTAGATTCCCCTAATCTTTCTCTTGTGTAAAATAAATACACAGGACAAGAAACTTTTAGCTTCCTGTAGCAGCAGTGAAAAGAGACTGTTGATGTCTGTATGTAGAGATTAGTGTTGTAAAGATATGGATAAATATTTTTCATTAACAGAATTACAATGATTTTTACTTTTGCAATCATAAAAGAAAGCTCTCTGTAAAATATGGTGATGAAGTTTGTAACAAGTGTCCTCCCTTGAATAACTGTGAAGTCTGTAATTGGTGGATTGCAGAGAAAGAAATGTTTTAATCAAATAAGAACAAAGAAAGAGGCATCCTGAAGCCATAAACTGCAGGTGTTAAGTGAAGAATTCCCTTCAGCACTGAAATGTTGAGGGGTGTTTTGCTGTCACCAATTCATTTGGGCTATGATCTGGCAATCTGTGGTTTTTATTAAGCTTACTGCTTTATAGATCATTACTAATACTTAAATCTTTAAATGCATTTTTCCCCAAAATGGTTTTTGGGAAGTACTTTTCCCTCTAATTAATTAATTTGAACATTTCATAAGAAATCACATTCATCTCAGTAATAATTTGTGTTCTATCTTGGTATCCTTGTCTAATAAACTTGAACAGATTAGCTTTTACTGCATATTTTACTTGGCTCTAAGAGTTAAAATACCAAAATATCAACCAAGAGGAAATATAATTTAACATTTTCTTTTCTCTTAACATTTTTTTACTGACAGTGTTATATAACTGTGCCCTCTGATTTCTTTTTAGCCATGCTGACCAACAGCAGGGAAGGAGAACTCATTGACCAAGAAACTGGGACCAGCCTAAAAAAAATACAAAAGGAGAAAGGTAAAATCACAGACTGTTTTCCATCTCAGGCATTTAATTGCACTTATTATGTGTTTCATTCCTTTTTCCCATGTTCTGCATATGCAATGACATTATATTACTAATTTAAGAGAACTAAGTGCTTAATTGCAATGAATAATGTATCCAGTGAACTCACATGGAAGTGTAAGCAATGAGAACTTTGTTTCTCTCTGTTTATATAGCATGAGGGTAATATTTTGCAGGTCTTTTGCCTCAATTATTTATGAAGTCCCAAGCAAATATTTGATCAGTCATGTGCTATTGTTTGTTTGCCTTCAGGGGATGTGTGTGCAGACTGCTCTGATGCTCTGGGTGCACAATATCATTTTATATTGTCTCACCAGCGAGGGGCAGCAAGGGAAGAGGTGATGTTTGGCCTGGGGGGATTCTCCTGTAGGCAGGGAAGTGCTTTCTCTGCTGGGCTCTCCTTGCAGAGGTTCGTGGGTGCTGGAGGAGGTGAATACTCAGGGATTTATTCTGGGAAAACACTGCAGAGAGATGCTATGGGGGACAGTGAGGTTTTAGACTGGAAAAGATGTGAAGGGAAAGAAAGAGAAGGAAGAGACAACATAAATGTACTTGTATGTCTGCTGAGAATAATTGTATTTTATCATCATAAATGAAAGCACAAACTGATTTATATTTTGGTTGAGGTGATTTTCATGTATTTTCAGAAGAAGCTAAAAGGCAAGCATAGACAATTTTGTGGGCTACTCAGAATTTGGAGCCTCTCCATGCCCTGTGATTCCAGAGTTATATAAAATTATTTGAGCAGTGTCAGGGTTTTGTTCAATCAGCTCTCTTCCTTAGAGGTCTGGGACTGATCATGGGTAGGAAGAGCCTGAAACTTCCTCCTTATATTTTGTATTTCTGTACTCAACTCTCCTTGAAGACAGAAGCTGTTTTCTATTCACTGGTTTTTCTGGACATTTAAGCACTTTCCTCATGAACCCCAAAAGAGCCCTTCTGTGCCATTCTGAGGTAATTTTCTGTCTGGATCATCCTGCTTAAATCCTTCCCTCTTGACTCCTGTTGACATTTACAGAAAGTTACCAGCCATACCTTCACTCCTAAGATTTAAAAATTACATTTCTATAGTAATTGCATAGTGAGTATTTAATCTAAGCCTGAAAGTGTAGTTGATTATAATTCTGTTGAACTGTACATGGTTTCTTGCCACATGTTCAGTAATTTTTCAGTGAAACAATTCAGTATCCTGTGGGGTTCAAAGATGCAAATCATGAACTTCTTGGTAGTAGCAGTTCTGTCACTCAGGATGGATGAAGGAAGGTACAGTTTAAAAATCTGAAAAAATAATTCAGAAATCCCCAAAGTGAAAATAATTGAACCTCCAGCACCTGTGAACCCAATTCCCAGGCTCCTGTGATCATTCCTTTTAACATGGATGAAATCACAAAGATCTGATGCTAACAGTTTGTGTGCCATAATTCTCCTTAAGATTAAAGTTGTGTAGGTTTATTCATTTCCTAGTCTACGTTTTTGCATAATTTCTTTAATTGATTAAGTACTGGGAAATACATCTTTATACATGTGTTAGTTCTGCATGCACTTAGGGGATGTTTTTGGAATTAATTTAGTGTGCAGAGCTCTACCTGCATCAGAAAAAAACGCTTCAAAATCATGAGATATTTTAAAATGTTATTTTAGAGAGAGAACAAAGTTTCTGCTTTTCTGCTTGGTCTGCAGGTATCAAGTTTTTCTCAGTGATATGAGGATGAGAAATTTATTTTTTGTTGTCATGTACAGATGTGATTTTTCAAGTCACCCAATGGCTCCAGAACCAGAACCTTTTAATGACATTATAGTGGGACTCATACAGAAATTGTAAAGCACCAACCTTTATATCCAGGATTCCACGCTGGTTTTGCATTAATTAATGGGACAGATCTGTACTGCACTTTCTGTAGGAACCACTGGGGTTGTTCCTCAGTGATTTGTCCCAGTCCTGTGTCTGGGATTCTTTGTTCCTAACACTGTTACTGTTTTCTCCTGTATAATTATTTTGGGCTCAGTTCTGTTGAGTGCTTTAGAGTCAGGTGTGGACAGTGTGGGGAGGGGGATCTGTGCTGCCTTGTCCTGCAGAAAACATCCATGTAATTTGTATACAGAGCAGGCTTTGTTTTTCCAAACCTGCCATTGCTCCTACCAAGGCAAAATATATCCACCATGGAAAAGATTTTCAAAGTTATTAAGAAGGAATGTAGTTAAAATAAAAGTATCAACATTTATTAAGTATGACAAGTAAGCGGTTTATACAACCGTGGCAAACATATGTTTTCACATCTGTTTTGAGTAATATCATCATGATTTTAAAAATGATTTATAGCTCTGCAGGCCATAAAATGCCAGCTTTGCTGGAAGTTGGAAGATTTCAAACAACAAAGAAATTATTGAAGGCATATATTGAACGTGTTTTTGTGTTATACACCTTGACATCACTTCACAAAGCTGAGTTCTCTACAACAATTAAGACAGCAACAATTGAAAATTAAGGAACTCAAATTTATCAGGAGAACTATTTATTGAAATCTTAGCATTAAAAAAATGATTAAAGTTATTGTAATGATTATAGACAAAATATCTCTCAGGATACACAGGTTTTGTTTTCCATATCCCGTTTTAAGTGATCTCAGCAACAGACAAAAATGTGCCACTTTGTTCTCATCACAGTAAGTTCGAGGTGATTAGGGCTGAGGAGAGCATGGCTTCACAACAGTGCTTCTTTAAAAGAGAGTTAATATGAGGCTGTTGCAGTTCCTGTGTTGGTGGGGCAGAATTTCCAGAATTGGTGGTTGTCTCTTGCAGAGTGTTCAGAGCCCAGCTACAGCCATACCTGTAAGCTTTCTGAAGGAGAAATGCCATTAAATCTCAATTACTCTGCTTCTTTTCATCATCCTTTTAGAGGAAATATGGTCAGATTTAACATTAGAGGGCAACAAAGTTAAACATCTTTGGAAGTCTGCATGGTTTGGGGTCTTTATATATATATCTAAAATTGTTTTTACTGCATGGATTACATGCAGTACTATATTTTTGTCAAATGCCTTTTTCTGGCATGTTACACCAGCATTTTGCCTGTGCATCTATTTCTGAGTGAAAACCATATCAAGAGTAATCTGCACTTTATTTTGAAATCACTAGTTCAAGGAAACAGTTACAAAACCCCCCCTAGAACACAGCCCACATTTTACCTGCACAATTACTCACAGAAACTACACTTTAAATTCATCTGCTTCAATACATATCCTGGAAAAAATCTCTATTGTGTGGGGTAGGATTGTGTTTGACACAGCTCTGTATAGGCTTTACAGAAAGCTCCATATGAATTCTGGCATTAGGAAGGTGAAATGAGCCAGAAAAGAATTTGGCCGTGCCTTCCAGCCGAATTTAGATGCTGGTACAATTATTCTGTTTGACTGCATGACAAGAAACATTTCAAACTCCTCACACAGGCTGGAGCAATAAAAGGCACTGGCCCAGCTCTTGCCACAGTGAAATCAGTGGGGATGTGTAGGATGTCTTCAGTGGAACAGTTTGACCAAAGCTTGGTCTTTGGGAAGGTTTTTCCCCCAGCTCGTGCTGCTGGTTGTTATGTAGACATGGATAGCACGTTCACATGGGGTTTGAGGTGCAAACCAAAGGAAAATATTGTAGGAAAATTCCACAAATGACCCTATTGTCAGATTTACCCACTGTTTGTGCGGTCTATGAGTACAAATAAATGTGGCTTTTGCTGAGAAGGGGCTGTCCTGCACTCCCAGAGCTGCCTGGGGGCAGTGCTCCCTGCTCCAGCCCATCCTGCATTTCCAGAGCCCAAATCCAGGCTCTGGGGCTGTGTCCCATGGCCCAGGGCAGTGTCCAAACTCTGCATCTGGCAGCTCTCCCTTCCCAGTTTATTAAAGAACACATTTTCCTTTATTGCTTCAAGGAAAGGGGATTTTTGCATCATTTCTGTCTGCTGAGTGAAATATTTTCAGATGGCCAGAGACCATGGTAATGAAAGAATAACCATATTTATTTATTGGATTTCATTAGCAGAAAAGAGGGTTTCTGCTGTTTAAATTAATCACTGCCAAAGGACCAGGCTACTCAGGATGTGAGGGGAGGAGAATGAGCAGGTGCAGAACACCTGAAACAGCAACAGGCTGCTGGGGGCTGTGCTCCAGAGAGGAGACTTTCCCAGCAATTAATCTGAAAGCATCCAGATGGAAAAGGGAAGGAAGGAGAAGGAGAACAAGGAGCACGAAGCTGAACCACATGGTGGCTGTGCAAAGTGTGCAGGAGGTGCCAGCACCTCCCATGGTCTCCATGCTGCTTGTTTGACCTGTCAATACTGGCATCTTCAAGATATAATGTGAAAAAAAGCTGTTTTCTTCACAAATGTGTTCATGAATACATGAAGAACTCCCCAAATCAGGAGTGAAACCGTGTTCATTCTGGTTTCTGAGTGTGTGGATCACAGACCTGGGGTTGTTTCATCAGCAGTGGGTGCAATAGTACATGAAATTAAAGGTTTCTTTTCCCCAAAGCCTTGAGTGACATGCACAGTGCAAATGTCCTCTGAATAAGTCAGAGATATTTTTACATTTTCTATCCTCAGAGAATACTGAAAGATAAGAAGCACAGTGCTCTATTCTGGGTGGAGGCATTTTCCACAAGTGTTTTTTTGTTTTTAAATTTAACCTACAAATGAACTGACAGCTGTTAAAAAGGTGGCCTAATAGGAGATGTGATTGTCTGTCAGTCAGTCAATCCAAAAAAACCCAAACCCATAAAACCAAGGCAAACTCTATTAACACTTAGATTCACAAAATGTAAATAATTAATAAAGGTAAAGCTTTAATTTTTGAAGTGTCTGTACTCATGATGTTATGATTGTGTGCTTAACCATTGCTGAAAGATTTATAAATATAAAGGCAATTATGCAAGAGATGCTGGTGAAGTACTCCAAGGTCACA